AAAAAAAAATTTCAAAAAATAACGCTAAATTTTAAATTTAGTTCTAAAGGAGCAAAAGTTATTAAAAATTTAAGCTGGTCTTCGCATAAATTTAGAAAGATTGCATAGATTCAAAGCCGGGTCACCAGTGAGGAGACACGTGGAAGTTAACGCGACTCCTAAATAAAAACATAATATTCAAATAGAGAGATGATCTAAAATGAATAATTAAGTTGATTAAGAATAGAAACAATTAGCACGATTAGTTAACAGAATGCCAGCCATAATTAAATAATAATAAATTTAACAAAAGGATAACAATTAAGGTTACAAGTTAGTTAATTCTAGATTAAACATCGTGGCGGACAGGTTGTCCCAGCAACATACACAGGCGTCGTCACAGACCGAACTGAGGAGAAAAACAGGTGCAGTTAGGTCTGCAATCGTGATTGTCCTTATCGCCAACTGGCGACGTAAGTTTGCCACATTCCGGCGTTTAGCATGAAATTGGCTCAAAAGCAGCAGCCGCTGCAGGTTGAACGTATTAAAATCACAAGCTTCGATATTGATAATAAATAAGAAATTATACTTCACATGTTATAATGATGTTTAATAAGTTATATTAAGTTATACCTCAATAACTTGGCAAAGTTATTGTGGAATGCTTTTTACCAAGCGGTATTTTCTTTAAAACGCATTAACAATACCTAGAGAATAATTGAAAAAAAATGCTTCATTGCAAGTAAAGGATGATTAATTTATTGTGGTTTGGTTATGTATTATATGATAAAAAGTAATACAATGCTATTTTTTTAAAAATGATATTTATTTTCAATAAAAATATTCTTTTTAATGACCTTTCTTCAAGCTTCTAAACATTATTCCTTGTTACACTTTTTTTTAACCACAGACAAATGAAAATAAATCTTAAGAATAAAATTTGTTAAGAAGAGAAATTTAATTCAAGTCTCAAGAAAATCATCAAATCCTTGACGGATATTTTAGTAATTTGAAGATCTTTTAGATAACTATAGTCATTTAATTATCTTAGTTTAAAGTTTCGCAATAAGTTTTAAACTATGAGATGAAGAAGATGCTGATTTTAATAAAAGAATACAAACTTCTGATTAAACAATAGAAATTTAACTTTTTTTGTGGGCCATATCATACCATTTGACTCAATAATGGTTAAATTATTTCCAAAAAATTTTGAATGTACGAAGTTGTCTTCGGTGAAACATCTAAATGCAGCTCCGAAATTCGTGAAGGCTATAAACGCAACCCAACATCTTAAAGTCACAGTCAACCACTGTGACATGTTTTACAATTTTTGACAAAATAATTTATGTAATTACAGTACGCTAGATAATATCTTGAACGTAAAAATTTGGTTTCAATTACTATGATAAAATGTGCATTTATAAAACGAAACTACCATAAACACGAATAAATATCTGCGGTAGAAAATATTATGATTGATTGATGAATTATCCTTTTTTCTAACTTAAAGCTCGATATATCTTCCAAAAAAACCTGTTTTTTATTTTTACATAGGTATCAAATATAAATTATAGTGAAATGCTCTAATGACAGTCAATAATTATATATAATTCACTTTAAGGAAAAGCTGCTTTGAATTAAATATAGATTGTAAAATGAAATTATCTTAAAAAGCTATAAGCTGGTAAATATTACAGCATAAGCCATCGTACATATATAATTCTTCATCAATCAATCAAAAGATTGTATATAAAACGTATTTTACTTTAAAACGGCTTCTTTTCTAACATTTTTCGTATCTGTATTTAATTAAATCTATTTTTCAATAAATTCTGTAAATTTGAGCTCCAATATATGTTTGATTCAAACTTTATGTTCATTACATATATTTATACTTGATAAATAAAATCAAGAAAGAACTGTGACTTAGATTATCAACTCTATTTACTAAATATACTACTTCGTGTGTTTAGAAATTGTACCTAGTTTATTTTAAATTGTGTCTAATCTTACTCACTATGTCTTTATCCCATTTTGATGAAAAAAGCGGCATTGTTTCAGTAAAAACACCATGGGGTCGTTGGTGGCAAACTGTAGCTGAAGTTTTTGTTGAAGTTAACGTCCCACCTGGAACACCGGGGAAAGAATGCGCCATTAAAATTGAATCCAAATATATAGAGTGCCGTGTCAAAGATAAGTGCTATTTTAAGGGTGCTTTATATAAACCAATTCGTGTACAAGAATCTACTTGGTCTCTAGAAGAAAGAAAAACAATTCTGTTCCTTCTTGAGAAAGCTGAAAAATATGAAAATGAAAACATATGGCCTAGTTTATTAGAAAAGGAATATAGTGCAGATCCCTACACTCAACATGAAATGTTAAAAAAATTAGATCTAGAGAAATTTCAAACAGAAAACCCTGGATTTAATTTCAGTGGTGCTGAATTGTCCAAAACATACAATAATCCACCTTTTCTAGATCAGAAAGAAGCCAAGTAATAAATTAAATGTTCATTTTTTTTCAGCTGGATAAGTTGCTGGACTGATCAATTTTAGATGAACAAGTTTAAATTGTTTTTATACTTAAATTAAAATATTATTTTAATTTATGTTTTGATTTTTTAAAAAAAAGTATTACACTTTCAGCCATATTGTTTTGTTGTTTGTCACATTTGTAAATTGTACAGTCATATTGTTTTTTTATTTTTTATATTGAAACATAAATAAACTATGTTTAAAAAATTGTGATAAATCTAAAGTGTACTGAAAGAGTTGATGATTATTAAAGAGACAAAATTAATTTAATTGTACTTATTATACATTAATTTTCAAAACTGAATGTTTGCTTGATTAATGAACTGCGTACATGCTTGTAATGTGAAAAAGACTGTTACTTAAAACTGAATTAAAATAAAATTACTACATAGTAGGAGCTACTACATAGAATTTTCATTCATCAGTGATGTAAATCTATTTCATGGACTCGGATCTAATGGTTTCACTAGAACATCCATAGTAGTACAGCATTCATCATCAGTACTGAATGTGTATTCCAAATCAGAGGACTACCAAAGTGAAACTGGTTTAAATGTGGTTGCCAAAATAATATTCTTTGTGGAGAGACAGAAGCAATTTATATAACCAGAATAGCAATTGCAAAGATACCTTTGTCAGCTTGGAAGTTTCTATGAAAACTGTCACTGGAATTACCATCATAGTTATCAGGAGTATGGCTGTCGGATCATCACATTTAGGATAATTGCTGCATCCTGATTGAACAAGTTTAAAAAATGATGCAAATAGTTTGGCACCGACTGATTCAATCTAATAGTTTAATTTTAAGGGTTTGTGTAGTTAATTATATATGAACTCTATATATTAATTAAACCTGCATAAATAAAAAATTACACCAAAATAGCAATCTCCATTAATTTTGACAACTGACTAAGTTCTTCATTTACTACAAAATAATATTTTTTTAGTGTAAACTTGTAATTTAATTAAGAAATTAACTTTTTTATTGAATGTTTTACTCTTATAAACTTAGTATATGGTATGAGCCTTTTACTGAACTATTCTATTTTACTATAATGCATTCTATATCCACAAAATTAAAAGTTTTTATTTTATTTACTGTACAAAAGAAAGTAAGGTTTAATTAAAGGGAAAAAAATGTGAAGTAATACACTTGACACAATACAGAAAAATTGGATTTTTCAAACCTATTATCTTTTCCAAATCCTCTTAGTACTATATACTAAGTAAGCTTCTAAATACAGTCAATTCGCTATAACTCGAAGTACGATAACTCGAATATTACTATAACTCAATTTTTTTATAAGGTCTCGACCCTTTTATCTTCAATTTCATGTTAATTATTCTTGATTACTCGAATTTTACTGCCTTTAACTCGATTTTTTGTGTGGATCTTTTAAAGCAAGAAAAAAAAAACCTAGGAGCTGATATCTTGCCCCTTCCTTTGCAACACACATACACACACAATGTCTTTCGCACTCTTCATGGAGGAGCTAAGGCTGTCCCTCTTGAAGTATGTGAGCAGTGGTTAAATGAAACGTTACCATATTTACTTCCAGGATACAGTTAAAATGATGTTTTCAATATTGATGAAATGGGTTTATTTTTTAAATGTCTACCAAATAAGACTATGATGTTTAAGGATGAAAACTGCTCAGGGGGTAAAATGAGCAAGGAACGTTTGACTGTCCTAGTTGGAGGAAATGCGTCTGGGACAGAGAAATTGCCCTTACTTGTTATCGGAAAATACCGAAATCCCCGATGTTTCAAGAATGTAAAAACGTATCCTTTGGATTACAATTCTAACAAAAAGTTTTGGATGACATCAGTTTTATTTGAAGACTATGTAAGAAAATTGGATCGGAAATTCTTCGCTAAAAAAAGAAAAGTGATACTCTTCATGGATAAATGCACAGCGCATAGTGATCTACCTAATTTGAAAGCAGTAAACTTGCAGTTTCTCCCGCCAAAGACAACAGCAAAATTGCAGCCGATGGACCAGGGTATCATAAAGTGCTTCAAACAATCTTATCGTAAATGGCTTGTCAGAAAAATGATCTTAAATATTGTAAGCATTTAGAAGATTTGTAATTACATTATAAGCATTAGTTAAATAATCCAACAATATATTGAAAGTCCAGAACCGAAACTAACGGTAAGTCGAACTTCCAATATATCGAAGTTTTTCATGAGTCCTATCAGATTCGAGTTATCGCGAATTCACTGTACTATTGTCCAATAAAGTAAGACAGATCAAACATGTAATAAATTATTCTATACTCTTCACTTGTTGGTTTCATAAAATTAGATCAAAAACTTATTTTGACAGAGTTTAAAACAAAGGAAAATATAATGTAGTAGTACTCTGCCTATTGAACTTAATAATAAAATAAACCACTGTGACTTAGAAAAGTTTTGATTGAAAACATGATTAATAAAAGCAGAAAATGGTTTGATTGATATAACAGGATGACATAAGATCGATGTTTGCAAAGCACTTTCAAGTTTTGTATTTTAAAATATTTATTTGATGGAATTATATAACATTGTAAAATTCACTTTGATAATAGTAAAATAATATATATTTGTTGAAATATTTCTAAGTAATGTTAAGTTTAACTAAAGAGGGCAGGGTATATTTCGTGCTATGTAAACTAAAGCAAAAGGAATGTGAATAAAACACAAATGAAAGTACAGAAATGGACATACTATAGTTTCGGTTTTATAGACAAGAACCTTCCTCAGTGTCTAAACACAACATGATAATAGAGAAATAAAGATACAAACACATGCAAAGTGATTTAATCTACAGAGGCAAAGGATCAAGTTTTAAGGACAGGGGATATGAGGATGTTTCGCAAAAACCTTAGGATGCGAAAGAGTATATCATAATAGATTTCCAAATATTGGGAAACAGTGGGATTCTAGAAAGAACATTAATAAAATTATTAGAATTTTTTAAAATATGGAAAGATTCCAAGAAATCAAGTTTAGTAGATGAAGAGCAATGTTGGATGACTTTAGCAGGAGACAACTCAAACCTGTCATTAGAATTCCAATTATGTAGAACAATGGAAGATTGTTAATATCCTGACTTTGGACACCTCTTTCATCTTCAAGTCAAAGTTTAGGGGTTGTCCAATATAGCCATGACTACATTGTCAGGGTCTTTAACCCTTTGCCAGTGTCGCTCGAATCCAGTTCGGGCAACTATTACGTGCAGTATTTGTGATGCCTGAACTGACTTCGAGCAGGAGAAAAATTAACGATTCTATTTTGTGAAGCCGAGCTGAGTTCGTTACTACTTTAAGAAACTTAATTCACTATTTTCCTAATAGATAGCATTAGTAGTCCTAGTTTTTCGCCGATTACGACTTCAGTCGAGGGAGGGAAAATGTGGGTGTTGTCGGCTGCTCAGATAAACAAGACACACTTGGATTGATAAACAAAGACAAAATTTGGCGTTCTTGTTTAGTTCATATTGTTGTGTTTGTATGTCATATTATATTTAGCTTCAAAATTTTGCTTAATTTGCTGTGTGATTTTTTTTATGTGTATGTAAAATTTGTAAATACAGTAGTTATTGCATTTAAAATTTTATTTTTATAATAAAAAGCCATTTTCTAACTTTTATAATAATATAAAGAACAAAATTAAACAGTCAAAATTTTTTTCCATTTTTCTGAAACATATGTCACTGCTAAAGGGTTAAGGTTGGCGAAATTTAGTTTGTTTATAGAGGCAAAAAGAACTTTAACTCAAATTTATTCGAAATCTTAGCAATTTTTGGGACTGATATTCAGATAATAAAGGTCAAAATGATATGAGTTTAGTGGATTGTTAGATTAATTTTATATACATAGAATCATTAACATTAGAATGAAAACCATGCAATAGCTTTAAGGTAAAAGAGCTTTTCATTGAGATGACTGAACAAATTTTTTAGTGGAAAGCACAGTAAACAACTGTGTGTAAGGCCTCTGTCTTTTGGTTAGAGGGATGGGATGTAAAGTTATGAGGTGGAAGTGAAATAATGTTATTTAAATTTTTTTTCAGAAATCAATTTTTGTGATAACTAATTCTTTCGTTCCTGTTTTGTTAATTGTAAAACATCTATCAGACATTTAATTCAAGTAATTATGTATGTTAAAATAATTATTTTTCTAAGGGATTCTACAGACTTTACCTCAATTAATTTACTTAATCATGCTAGATTGAATTCTTTATCAGATGATCTAGAAATTTGCATCAAAAGTTGACCATCTCTGTAAAGGACTTTCTTAAAAAAAAATAGATGAATGGCAAAAAAAAAAAAAAAAAATTCAAAATTTAGTAGGGGTTGGCAAAAAGGCTGCACTCCCTATTGTACTTAAAATTAAATATAAAAGCTAGTGTATTGAATAAGACAAAGGTGAAATGAAAGAGAATTATATCACATCATACAATTCTGGTGATTCGAGAGCAATAGTGATTACAAATATATCCACCAACCTCCTTTTTTTTAAAAAACAGTTTAACAAAAAAAAATTTAAAATATATAAGTATTTTTATACATTATTTTAATTAATGATGCTTTATGATAAAAAAAGTACTATATTGTATTACTAAAGCTCTGTTAAGTTAAATAAAAGGCACAAATTTTTTATTTCATGATTTTTTATTTTAAAATTTATATTAATTTTTTTATAGATAAAAAACAAATATTTTTGCCATAGATTTATACAATGCTAAAGCACAGCATTTTTGCAAAAACTGACATGAAATTATACAACATCCAGACATAAAATTTTTATTTGCATGTTAAGTGAAATCGATAACTACCGTGAATATATTATAAAATATTTCAAATTTTTAGTTATTATTCATTTGTATCATGTCACTATGTTTAAAAAACAAAAAATAATATTATTGAAATATTAATAGCTTAATCAGTCTTTTATGAAATTCTTTTTAATGATTAGATTTTTATTCGAGGGATAAATTTTTTTTTTTTTTACAATTTTTATATAATCTTTAAAAATTCACTTTAAACCAAGAAAAAACCTTGTTTTCTTTCCAACCTTCCATTGCATAGAAAATAGGTAAGGTTTCTTAATTAACAAATACCTATAAATCCTTTTTTTTTTATTTATTATTTAAAGGTATTTACTTGCAGTATTTCTTTTTATTTTCCTTTCTTGATGTTATTCTCAACCATTATTATATTTTTATTTTTATCTGAAATTAACAGCTTAAAAATATAATTGGTATTCTTTTATTATAAAGCAGGGCTGATTGTGCTCCGGAAAAAAATCCGGATTTTTCGCTAGCAGTGATCCGGAAATTTCCGGAGATCGAAGGTCCAGACGTTTCAAAAAATCATTGATCGCAGAAGTTTCCGAAAATCAAATTTTCAAAGGTGGAACTTAAAAACACAAGTTATTTGTTTGTAAGGGAGAGCCAGATACTTCATAAGCTTATATTCATGATTAATATTCATTTTTTATCAGTAAATAGTTGTTATAATCATAAACTCAAGAAAGAAATACATATTTGTAAATTTTAATTACTTCTCCAGGTCATCATAGGTATATGTAAATGGTATAGGCATGTGTAAAATTTTAAATATATTTTAAGTAAACCAAGAAATATTGAGAAAAGGGAAACAAAACTTGCTTAAATTTTTTACTAATTTTTCAATTTAAACTTTTTTTTTTAACTCAAGAAATTTTCCGGAATTTTGACTTAGGCTTACAATCACCCCTGATAAAGATAAAGTAATCCTGTAATATCACTTTATTACATAACATTTTATAAAAAACATATTGAAAAATTTTATGAAACGGTATGCTACTTAACCACTTTGAAATTATTACTTATCAGCAAAACATTAACTAATTTTAAAATAAATAAATAAATAAATGCATTTTTATTTGATACTCAAGAAAATTTTTTTTAAATATTTCTGAAAACACCTGGAGTTTTCATTAAAAACCAGGTTTTTTATGAAAAAAACTAGGAGGACTGGGATTTTTCAAACCTTGTTTATTACAGAACTGTTTACCTTCTAGTACAAATAGAAATGTTAAAAAAAATTTACTGCTTTCTTTAAATTTACAGTTGCTTATTACAAAATGATATATTATACACATTTTTTAATTCTTTAACTTTTTTAGAAATAATTTTCATTATGGATTCCAGTTAAAAAAAAATTTCCATTATTTCTTTTCTTAGGGTTTTACTTTGTTTCTATAAGCACATGTGCCACCAGTAAAACTATTACTTGAAATCTGTCAATTTCATTAATGTGATTGTTCAATTTAGGTACCTTAGAACTGCTGTTGTTCCCACAATAAAAGGCATGACTTCTCTATCATGAGCAGTATTCTGTTTGTCCAAACCCTATTCTTTTCTTTAAGAATGCTCCACTTTCCTCATGTGGTCTCATTCTAAGCAAAAAGACTATTATTAATGAAAGGACAGGCTTCCTTCTCCTTGTCTGAAGTCCCTTCACACACACCTTTTCTTGTCTCTCAAAATGCTCCACCCTTGATGAATAGTCTCATTTTAAGCAAGAAAAGAACAATTTCCTGTTTAAAATATTCTTTAAGACTGAAAAATTGTTCCTGTCAACTACAGTGATACTGAAGATTAAGGACTTTTAAAAGCCTTGAGCCAAAATTAAGTACTTTTAAGGACTGTGGGAACCCTGTAAATATAAATATGTATACACAAGCACCGAATTCACAAGCTTAGGAGAAAAGTAAATTAATTTGTCACAAGTTTCTCTCTTCATATTTAATTTATAACTAAATAAGATCATGAACGAACAGTAAAATTAAAGGCAAGAATAATATGAATGAAAAGAAAAAATCACCAATTATAATAATTCATATTTATTTATATAAAAGTTAAATTAAAAAAAAAATATCTTTTATTTTTAAGCTTTTTAGAAATATAAAAGTTATGAGTAAAACAAGCTTTCATTTTACTATTTTATTTTTATATTGATTATTATTTTTCTAAGCATTTAAATAATGCAAACTTGTGGCATAAAATTAGAATTTAAATACTTTACATTTGTAATAAAGCTTCAACTTAAAAACTTAATACTTATATCTTAAATTAACTATGGTTTGCAAATAAAAACTGAATTAATATTATAAATTGGACATAACATATAAAGTAGGTAGTATACATTCGGAATATGGAACTATAATTTGAATTTCAACTATCAAATGACTGGAACTACAATGCAATTATTTTGGACAAAAAACTTTATAATACTTAATTTTAACTTAAATGAACAATCTTTGTATAAATGAAAACTGTTGTTGGTACAAGTATATCTCAATGAGAAAGTAATCTATGCACATTGAATAAATTTAATTATAACAGAATGATTTCTCTTTTCATTCAAGATATTTATTACCAAGTGTTTTAATCAAAGTGAATATTATCGAAGTTAAAGTGTAAATAATTAACTCCCTTTAAAAAAAATTTCAAATAAAACAAGTGCATAAACAGGTCTATCTTTATAATTGCAAAATATGTTTTTTTGTTGTAAAAAAATAATCATATATAATTTATATACATTTAAAAATAAAATAATCCTTGAAAATGTATGAAAAAATGGACGTTTTAATTAGATATTGAAGTGTTTATCAACTGCAGACTTAGTTATTTTTCACCTAATTAATTTGTAAAATCTACATTCCTAACATGAAATTATATGAGACACTGAGTCATATTAAAAAAATATCCTAATATTTACTTGAAAAACCAAAAATAAAAATTATCAGGTTAATTTAACCGTTTTACAGCTACATAAGTTCAACATTGATATTCAGTAAAGAAAAATTTGGGAAGTAGAAGCCATAAGGATGTCATTTAGAAGAAATAGGCATAAAGAAATGTTCATATTTTAGAACAGATATAATTTTAATTTCCTATTTCATTCAAAACAAAATATTTGCATAATTCAGATGAGATTATCAAAAATAACATATACATATAAATTAACAAAAAAATACTAATATAATTTCTTAAATTTAACAGAAAATAATCTGAACACATTAACTAAAATAGATTAAATAATTTTTCATATTATACTTTACAACACACACTAGGGTTTCGTATCAAGATTTAGCAGGCTTAATAAATGTCAGAAGAGGTCGGGATCCAGTTTTCTGACCCACTGGTTTACAATCCTTTTCTTCGTCATTCGACTCTGGGTGCACCACCATGTGTTTTTTTAAATTACTGAGTTGATTAAATCCCTTTCCACAAACATCACAATAAAAAGGACATTTATTATTGTGAATCACCAAATGTTTACGTAAGTTACTAATTTGATTAAATTTTCTTTTGCAAGTGCTGCATTCAAATGGGCACTCGCCCGTATGTATTATTTCATGCCTTTTGAGAGCAGCTTTTGTTTTAAATGTTTTATCACATTCTTTGCAGCAGAAAGGTCTATCAGCAGAATGGGCCAACATGTGTCTTTTTAAGCTGCTAGTCTGATTGAATTGCTTATCACAAATAGAGCAATAAGTTGATTTTGTATCACAACCTAATTCTTCTGGAGCATATCCTGCCTCATAACTGTACCTGTAACCACATAATAGACAATCATATTGGAGATCATCATTTTGGGAAAGGCTCACTGCATCAAGGTTCTTTACAACTTTCAAATCTGTTCCACAAGTAGGACATAATGCTGTAAAGGTTGAAGTACATAGTGTTAATTTTGATAAGGGTGTAGACATTACTTTCAAAAAGTAAAAAAGAGGTAGATTTTTCCCTGGTGATCCTGAAAATAATAAGTGAATGTTAAATATAAGTATTAATTATAAATATTACATTACAATTATTTACATTACATTACATTACATTACATTACAACTATTCAGGAAATCTCCTTTACAGAATGCCATATAGTTAAAGATTCTTTAAATATTCTTAAAAATGCTAAAATATTTTAACTTCAATTTCATTTCTTTTAAAAAATTAAATTTATGAGCTCTAAGCATATTTATGAGCTTATTTGATATACAGTAGAGAACCGATTATCCGGAACGATCGGTACCATCGCGATTCCGGATAACTGATTTTTCCGGTTTTCTGAATCTTTACAAAATGCCGTTTTTTAATGTTTATAAAACGAAACTGAAAAATAATTTTGAAATAGTTTGAGAAATAATAAAAAATGATAAATAATAATACACTTGAGTTTAAATAAGGAAAGAAATTATGAAATAAAAATTATATGCAGGCTTATATATGTTATTACTCTTATTATTAACATTAATAACATATATAAGCTATTTGTGCTTATGTGAGATTCGTCTACAAACAGCTTTTGATCCGTCCTCTAAATCAGTTCTTTCGTCAACTCGTACGCCGTATGCTCTAAATAACAAAATGGGCTCAAAATCTTGCAAGAAAGAAAAAAAAAATTTTAATGGAAGAAAATTAATTTCCAGTTCCGAATTTCATTCCGGTTATCTGGTTTTCTGATTTCCGGATAAGAGGTTCTGTACTGTACATATTCAACTATTAAGTCTGTAGAATCTGATAGATTTAAATCATTTGATTGGATAAGATTTCTATCCGAATAATTATTATTGGCTTGTTTTACAATTAACACATGGAAGAACACTAAAAAGATTGTAGGGATTTTTTTTTCATTAATGTACAACCTACGTAAATTTTAAATTAAAATTATAATATTTATATAAATTCAAGTTTTTTTTTTTAAATAAACCTTAACATGCATATGATCAGATTATAGTCTTTTCTATAATATTCAGAGAATTGCTCCAAAGAGCAAAATGAGTTTAAACTTTAACAAATTAAATAACTTGATTAGTTGCTTTTAGCAAAATATTAAATTTTTTTTTTTCTTTACTAAAACTGACAAAAAAATGTTCTGTTTGTATCAGTGATAAAAAATTTTATCTCATAAAAATTTCTATTGTTTAGTTCCATATAATTCAAAAAAAAAAAATGATGGGATCTTGAATATAAAGAATATTGTTTTATGTAAGTTCATGAAACATTAATTTTTTTACAAAATTTTCCCACTGTTCTTTGAGCGAAGTTCATTTGATAACTTTTAATTAAACTCTAACAACTTAAACTTTTTTTTATCTTGGATGTTTTTTAGTACTGCACTCATCTCAAATGCATATTTATTCTTTATAAATTACAATTTAATCAGGTTAATATAATGAAATAGTTTGATACAATACATACCTTAATAATAAAAATGATCCAATCAATTCATAAAACACAAACTAATCCTCAAGCTTTATACAAAAGTAACACCAAAGACTAATCTTCCTCTAGTTTCCCTGAATCTGTAATTATAATTTAAAAAAAACACATTTTAACTTTATGGTATTAAAATAAATCATATAGATTGGAATTCATTGATCATGTCTATTATCATTTTCATTGCATCATTATGGTTTTCATAAAGCTAAACAAAATAATGAATCACAAGAGGTACATTATCAATTAGAAATTTAAAAAACAAAAAAAAAGGATGTATTAAAATGTCCTACCCAGCAAGATTTAATGCCTTTTTATATATTTCTAAAGATGCCTTTTTATATATTTCTAAAAGGTATTGAACAATTTCTGTTACATTTAGAACTTTAAAATAATATAGCTAAGTTTATAAATATCTATATACACTTTCTTATTTTGTAACCGATGATTTTAAATTTGATAAAAAAAAACACCTTTTATTACTAACCCAAAGTAATTATAATATTAAAGAAAAATCTATTAGATTATTTATTCACTTATAAGCTGTGAATTTTTATAACTCTTATTTATTGAAATAAAAAAAAAAAAAAACAGTGAAACAGAATTTTTATTAAAAAAAACAATGAAATACTTCTTTAGAAGTTTAAAAACAAAAAAGCTATTTGATTTTAATTTCTATGAATTACTTTTATAATATAAATTATACAAGCCTTAAAAATAAAAACCTTTTTCGAATATTTATTTGTAAAAAAATTACAATTGTTAGGTAGTTTTTTTGTGTAACAAGAATTTTGACAGTGGGTTCAATTACAGAGTGAGAACGGTTCTTTGTTGACTGGAGGAGCTAATCAGTCTCCTTTTTGTAAGGTTTCAATTGATGCCGACCAGAGAGCTTTGCCTATTATTTAGTCAAGGCCTTTGCCTGATCGGGCACTCTGCTTAGTTATGAATATAATTATTTTTTTTGTCAATTTCAAGGTTCCAGTTAAGCATTCAGAAAAAAAGCCTTGAGGAAGTGCCATAAGAATAAAAAGCCAGAATTAAATCTAGACTGCTACCTTTAAGTTAAATAAATATTGAGTCTGGTCTTGTTGAAAAATGGAACAGACTTGGTGACTCTCCAGAGATATCTCTGAGTTGTTTTGTGTTCAAATGTAACAAATTTTAAAATAATTATAACAATTATTATCGATTCTTTACTCAGGGTTTTCTATGGCTTTGTATTGTTAGATGCCAATAAATGCTAATTATTTTCTTTTATAGAGTATCTTATTTCAGCCATACAACCAGGTTTCTTTATGGGTTATTGCTGGTATTCGTTTAGCATTATAATGTCTTCTAAAATTGTTAATTTGGTAATTGTGTAAGTCCTAATCCACAACACAATACTATTCAAGCTAAAAGAGAATGACATTCTCTTAAAGCTAAATTTTCTAAGCAATGAAGCACAACTAAGATGAGAAAAGACAATAACACTATTTTTTTATTTAAAGTCTCATGAATAAGACTTTTCTATTTAAATGATGTGAATATAGTTTTAATAGAGACATAACTGCAGAAGAGCTTTACGCTTACATATTTAAGTTGTTTCATCTTCTTTTGTTTATGTAATAACATTTTAAACTTTTGTTAATCATTTCAAGATTGATTTACTGCGTAAGTGAACTTGAATTTATAAATATAAAATGTTCAGTAAGTATCACCCTTAAGATATATTTTAAAAGTCCATTCAAAAGATTAAAAAAAACTATTCACTTTAAGAATCACAAAAATGTTTAAGCAAAAACATTATCAAAACCAAATCTATCACCCAGTGGCATACATAGACTAAGGTGTGCTCCCCCCCCCCTCGCTGAATTTATAAATGCATCCCATATAAAGTTACGGATTTAAGAAACATGTGGAAATACGACAATCGCCTTCGAAAACACGATCAAAAAGTCACTTGGACTAACTATAAAATGGATGCAAATTAAGAGCTTTAAAAGTGATTTTTAAAATTCTAAAATAATGCATCATAATTTTGACATGTTAAAAATACTGGGATTTTTAAACCTTCCACGAACTGCAGGTTGTACACCCCTATAGTGTAATATGTGTGGGACGTGCTCCCACCGCATTGCATAATTGAGGGGGTGTTATTTACGCCATTGCTATTACCACTATGAAAAGTAGAAATGGAAACATCAAAACTTATTTAATTCCTTGAAGAAACAAAGTGGAGTTAATGGCAAACAGTTATAAATAACTCTATGTTTAATCAGGCAAATAACATAGCACTGAATCATAAAAGAAATAAAAAATAATATATAATTTGTGAATCATCATTATACTTTTTAATTTTGATACCTTCTCCCGATTAAACGAAAAAAGTTCAAGTGATACTGAGTATTTTATCGCACTATAAACACAGTAAATGTACATTATTAATCTCACATTACATAGCAATGAATTTTAGTTGTAACATCTAATTTGACATGAAAATAACATAATACGCATTAAAAACATGGCTATAATAAATTTATAAAATAAGTGCATCCAAAGAGCTCTTTAATAAATAAGGTTCATAAAAGTGGTTATATTTTTAAAGAAATTACATGAATTACTTAAACGAAATATAATAAATTTATAAAATAAGTGCATCCAAAGAGCTCTTTAATAAATAAGGTTCATAAAAGTGGTTATATTTTTAAAGAAATTACATGAATTACTTAAACGAAATATAATAAATTTATAAAATAAGTGCATCCAAAGAGCTCTTTAATAAATAAGGTTCATAAAAGTGGTTATATTTTTAAAGAAATTACATGAATTACTTAAACGAAATATAATAAATTTATAAAATAAGTGCATCCAAAGAGCTCTTTAATAAATAAGGTTCATAAAAGTGGTTATATTTTTAAAGAAATTACATGAATTACTTAAACGAAATATAATAAATTTATAAAATAAGTGCATCCAAAGAGCTCTTTAATAAATAAGGTTCATAAAAGTGGTTATATTTTTAAAGAAATTACATGAATTACTTAAACGAAATATAATAAATTTATAAAATAAGTGCATCCAAAGAGCTCTTTAATAAATAAGGTTCATAAAAGTGGTTATATTTTTAAAGAAATTACATGAATTACTTAAACGAAATATAATAAATTTATAAAATAAGTGCATCCAAAGAGCTCTTTAATAAATAAGGTTCATAAAAGTGGTTATATTTTTAAAGNCTTAACAATTTTAAAATTGATTAGCCTACTTGAATAGAGTTTCCATAAGTAAGTGTTTATTTATGTTTATCTTTGATTTTCTATTCGTTAGCCTTGTTTCTTTAAAATCCAGATTTTTCACTCTTGAACTATGTTTACATTTTGCATGCGATTTTTTTTTCTATCTTCTGTACCTGTTATTTCAATTTCTCCCCGTTCCTGATATCACGACGGTAACACCGTTCTTTTTTGGTTCTCTCCTCTTAGAGAGCGCCTTTTCTTTCCCCCATCTTCCCTTTTTCCGTCGTGATGTCATGATCGGGTTTCTCTTTTTCCTCCTACCCCTTGGCGGCCTATCTAAATAGGTCGCCAAAAAATTGGCGGCACTTGGCCTTGCCGTAGTTATGATAATCATCCCCTTAAACGAAATAAGAAACACCAAAGGGAAAACTAATGAAGAGGAACCTCAAAGTAATTCGGTAAATTCTCCAGTTTTAAACAACATACATATGAAAATTAATAAGTAGGAAAAAATGTATAGCGATATAAATTAATATTAAAAATGCAAGCAACAGACTTCAAACATTTAAAATTCAATGTAAATACCTAATATTTCCTAATTATATTAAATGTCTTTATTAATTAGGCTAAAGTTTGCATAAATTAAAAAAATAATTAGTCATTAAATTACAGATTTGATATAACTTGTCAGAAAACAAAATAAAAATAAACAAAAACTACAGTTTACAGTTATGACAAGAAATAAAAATTGCGAAAATTTAGCTTATTCAGCCAGCAAAATAAAGTGTTTTTTATTGGTTGACTAAAAGAAGCTTGCCAATGATCTACTATGTTTTTGTTCTTTATTTGCCAAACTTCTTGAAAAACAGCACTAATTGTAATGATTTAGGAAGATCAATTTCTTTTTAAGGAAACCTTTCTTTTTCGGTTGTTGTAATTCAATTTTGGCAATGCAGAAGTATTAATTTTTGTATCAAAAAAGATTCAAGCTAGTCCATTTATTTAGAGCAATCAAAACAATTTGCTTGTCATTCTCGAGATCAGGTTTTTGATTCTTCAAAGCTTCAAAGTATAGGACGAAGTCAGTGCTTATATGTTATTTATTCTAGAGAATGAACTTATAATCTTTTTACCTTGACTATTTTCAGTTCGGTCACGTTACTTTTATCTCGATTTAGCTGTTATCAACTAATTTATTTGGTACTTTACCCTTATCAACGATATTTCGTGCTAAGTTATCAGGTATTGTTAGAATTTTCTAATAAATCCTGCTTAACATTTTACTCCCAGTCATTTATAGTTTGCTATTCAATGTCAAATCGATAGACATAATTTTATAGAAACCAAAATGTCTTCCGAAAGAAAAACTGGAATTATATATGATCATCGCATGAGTGGTCATGAATGTATATGGGATCAGGGCCATATAGAAACACCCCTGCGGTATTCATTTCCTTTAAAAAAATGCGAGGAATACAGGCTCTTAGATCGATGCATTAAAATTCCATCGAAATTCGCTTCTGAAGAAGAATTACTCTTAGTGCATGATAAAAATTATATCGAAGATATCAAACGTTCAAAATTATTGAATGATCCATCCGATTTAGAAGACTTTGCTTCAAGTTATGATTCTGTTTACTTCAATAGCAAAACATATGATGCGTCCTTGTTATCAGCTGGATGCACATTGCAATTGGTGTCTTCCGTATTAAGTGACCAAGTTAATAATGGTATGGCAATCGTTCGTCCACCAGGTCACCATGCCATGACAACAGATGCCTGTGGGTTTTGTTTCTTTAATAATGTTGCAGTTGCAGCAAAATATGCATTAGAGCATTGCAACTTATCCAGAATACTGATTGTAGATTGGGACATTCATCACGGCCAAGGAACGCAGCGTATGTTTTACAATGATCCACGAGTGCTGTATTTTTCTATCCATCGATATGAAAATGGAGCCTTTTGGCCACATTTAAGAGAATCCAATTTTGACTATGCAGGTGGGCCTTCAGCAAAAGGCTTCAATATTAATGTGCCTTTAAATGGAACTGGTCAAGGAAATGCCGAGTATTTAGCAATTTTTAATAATGTCTTGTTACCTATTGCTTATGAATTCGCTCCTGAGTTAGTTATAATATCTGCTGGTTATGATAGTGCCTATGGCTGTCCTGAAGGTGAGATGAAGGTTTATCCTTCATTATATCCTCATTTGATAAATTCATTGTCTTGTCTTGCAAATGGACGCATTTGTGTCGTGCTTGAAGGAGGATATTGCATACCATCTCTTTCTGAATCTGTTGCTTTAACTCTTAGGGCATTGCTTGGCGATCCTTGTCCCATAATACCTCCTTGTATAAGCATCAGCCAAGTAACTGTAAACTCTGTTTTAAATGTTTTATCGGCTTTACGTGAATATTGGGACTCTGTAAAACTTCAGCCGTTATACAAGTCCAGTTCTGAAGGGATTGGAGAAAAGCATTTTGTTCATGTTGATTATACTGGAAGCCCATTAGAAGGATCATCTAAGTATGTTACTCGTGGTTATAATCCAGTAGTTCTGTCTCACGTAAAAGATTTGCTTGAATCTGAATTGAAAGATATAATTTCTAAAACTGACTTATCTGTTCCTACTGCCAGATCATGTTTTATATTTAGTTCTAAACATAAACATTCATCATTAAATGAATTAAATGTTTCTGGAGAAGGAATAAAGAGTGCAGTTAATGTGTTAAAAAATTTTTATGAATGTGGAATTCTTTCTAAATGTACCTGGCTGGAATTGACTGAAAACACTGAAACTGATTTAACTGCTTTAGTTAACTTGAAAGGAGTAAATAAAATAAAATCTACTTGGAAGTTATCTGATGAAGTGCGCATGAAATTAGAACAAAATTATTCTGAAAATGCTTGTAAATCAATTAGCGATAATTTATTGCAGCTCGTCGATGCAGTTGTTAAACGTGTATGTGTTAATGGGTTTAGTTTGACTTATGCAGTTGATGGGACATCTGATTCTGAAAATAAGGCACAGTTTTGCAAGTTTAATGAAGTTGCTCTTGCTGCTTCTTATCTTATTGAACAACATTTCATGAAAAGAATTTTGATAATCGATTGGAGTGTTGACCACAATAACAACACTCAGAAAATTTTCTATGAAGATGATAAAGTTTTGAGTATATCTTTGCATTACTGTGGAAAAAAGATTTGCCCTATGTCGATAGATGAAACTGGCGTTAAGCAGGGTAAAGGATATAATGTTAATGTTCCTTTTACACATGCTGTTACTGACGGAGATTATCTGGCTGCCCTATTCCACATTATCCTTCCAATAGCGTATGAATTTGGCCCTGAATTTATCTTGATATCTTCTGCTTTCAATAATGAATGCTTTTCCTTATTGTCACCTTCTTGTTACGGCATCATGGTAAAACTTTTGAGCTCACTATGTAATGGAAAAATGATTATTGACTTTGAAGGCTGGAATCATAACAATACCTTTGATGAAACAACATGCTGTATTTCTTCCCTGCTTGGTAATTCTGAGCTACTATCCTTAAATTCACAAAGTTTAAAACCCTGCTCAGAGGCAATTGAAACAATACAAAAAGTAATTGCAGTTCAGAGAAAATTTTGGAGAAGTTTGGCTTTTGCTAAATTTCTGCCGGACAATGTCACTACTGAGTCAAAAAAGGTGCATACTGTGAATAACCTCAAACGTAGGCAATCAAGTGATCCTGTTGCAATACCTAGAAAGCTTGATGAGGCAATCAAAATGGAAGAATGGATTGGTGAAGCTTCAGGATTTAGCAACAATACTGAATTATTCTGTGTTGTTCCTTTGGAATATTGCCCTCATCTCGAATTGCTCCAACCAATACCGACTGAAGGATTAAATCCGTTTGCTAGATGCTATTCGTGTAATGATCCCAATGAGAACTGGGTCTGTCTTCATTGTTATCAAGTTTATTGTGGACGTTTTATTAATCAACATATGTTGCAACATGGTCAAGATATGAAACATGTTCTTACTCTTAGCTATGTTGATTTAAGTGTGTGGTGCTATGCTTGTGATGCATACATTCATAATGAGCTTATTGCGCCTATTAAAGAACATGCTCACATTAAAAAATTTGGTAGTTTGTAAAGCATGTTTTAAAGATGTATTTGATTTGAAAATTAGTTTCAATAATGTTTAATTTGTTTGTTCCTTTACATAGTATAAACTGTTTGAGAAACAAATGAGCTTATATTTTCAAAAATTTTGTTTTATTACCTATAGTGGGGAAGATTTTCATGTTCGTAACTGCACCAAAATGGTTGCAAGTTTCTAAGAACAACCAGGTTGTGACATAGGACCAAAATAAATAAAAGCACAAAATGGGTGCAAAGTTGAAAGGTTAATTCTCTTAGTCATCTGTAGCGAATAGCTATACAAATTTTAATTTATTAAGAGTACAAAACCTTGACAGTTGCACTTGACTTGGCAATAACAGTTTGTGGGTGGGAATAGGTACTAATATGGAAATATCCTCCTATAGTGTATTATGCAAGTGTAAATTTGTGTTTTGTAGCCTAAAAAATTGGTAAATTTTTTATACAGATATGGTACTTACAAGACTTCTTAATGGAGCTTGACAGCAGATTTATTTTGTTAGTAGGTCGCATTAGCAGACCTGCTTGGTTGCTATGGGCTGATTCATCAATTAAATTTGTCTTATTTTTATTAGATTAATATATTATGATTTTTAAACCTTATTGTATTGAAGTCATATTATTACTTTACTGTTTCTTTAATTATTACTTTATTTATAATGTATTTTATTTGGTAATTGTTTATTAACCTTAAAAGATAATAAATATATAATATTTGATTCTTAAGAATTATCAGCACCAATGAATTATGATGATGAATTAATAATTTNTTTTTAAGATTATTTCCAAATAATTTTTTTTTTAAGTTGAGTTTAACAATAAAAAAACGGCTTTTTGTAGCGATTCAGAAAATTAGAAAAATCAGTTATCCGGAATAGCGATGGTCCCGATCGTTCCGGATAATCGGTTCCCTACTGTATAATATTTGATTCTTAAGAATTATCAGCACCAATGAATTATGGTGATGAATTTATAATTTTACTTGGTTCTTTATTTTTAAATATGATTTTAATAACTAAATTTTAACTGTCATTATTACGATTCTTTGCTTTGTATTTGGTTTAAATTTTGGAGATTCTATAATAGATACAGAATTCTTCCTAGGAATAAAAAAAGGCAAAGTGCTTTCTCACTCAAAAGTGTACTTTGAGTTTTGAACGGCACTTACTTGACACCATTAAAATTTATCAAATGTGTAATATTTTATGTAATAGTCTCGATTATTTGAGTCTCAGTTGTTCGAGTTTCGCATAAATCTGAGCTAGTGAAAAATATTTAATTAATTTTTCATACATTATTTCTCTTGATGATATTTTATGTGCCATTTTTTCTTATACGTATTTCATAATTATAAGTATGCATCTTTAAAAGAACAATGAGATTAGTTTTGGTGATATTTTTGTATAAGCAGTTTAGCTTATTAGCAATAAATTTTATAATAAAGTAATGTTTTTAAGTAATTTGTTTCCTTTTAAGTAATCTGTTTCGTTTTCTTTAAAAAGTTTTTTATTCACAAAGATAACGATCAATATCTAACATTGTATTATATGTACTTCACAAGTACAGAGGAAGATTACAAACTAAATGTCACAGACATTCATGTGCAATCATATTACTCATAAATTATAATTTTTTTTAAAGAAAAACTAAAAGTAACCTCGATTAATTAAAATTTTAAATTATGAGTTTCGCTTTGCTTTCAGTTTATTTAATTTTATGAATTTTATAAAATATTGTTATATCTTACTACCATCATGTTTTTCTACGGAAGATTTTCTGATCAATACTGCTTGGCTAAAGTGGTAGCCAAGTTTTGGTGGCAACCAGGTTGTGGAACACCAGAAGCTAAGAAAATCGTAACTGAATAGGGGGGGGGGATAATGCAGAGAACAAAACTCATACTTTCCTTTGTGTAAGCATATGTATTTATTTTAATTTATTGCAAATAGAAAAACCTAACAGTGGCATCAGACGATGACAGTTGCTGTGAACAGGTATAAATTTGGAAGTATCTCATTTTTCTGACAAATTTGATTTAGTACATTTCAAGTTATATTACAATCATCAAATATTCTATACATAGTAATGTCTGAATTTCTCTAAACAGAAGGCTTATATGTTAGCAGTTATGAGTATAAGTTTTTTCAAAAAGGGGTGTGTGGTTAGTCATTTTGCTATGCTGTAAGTAAAAATAAGTAAATTAACATGTAATTTGCTCTTATTGAATTTCAAAAGCATTCTTAATATATATTTTATTTTGAATGCAAAAATGCGGCAGTAGCATTTGGCACCATTGTAATATCAATTGATATGAACAGGTACTGATATGGAAATAGCCTATTTTACTTCGAAATTAGGTTGTTGTTGACTTAGTACATTTCAAGTAATCAAGCTTCAAATACCCGAAGTTATATTATAATCATCATGTATTCTATGTATGTACTATCCTGCTATTACACAAACTTCTCTTAACACCAGACTGATATGCTGACAGTTAAGAGTAGAAGTCATTTCAAGTAGGGATTAGTTGTTTTGCTTTGGTGTAAGAAATAAGAAGAAAATTAAGATTTAAATTGTTCTTAATGAGCCTTAAATGAAGGGCAGAAAACAAATGTAACAAGGAACTGACTATATTTAACAAGAACTGATAGTGGAAGTAAACATAAAGGTTGGCTATTCTTTTCTTACTGACTGTTAATCAGATTAATACTGTTAGTTATAATCAGCCAAGTGTCTGGTGGCATTGTTAACTTTTGCTATCAATTCTTGTTGAACAGATAGGTTGTTTAAATATTCAACATTTGAAAAACCTATCTATGTAATCTTTTAAATGTGCTGCCATTAGAAATTGGTTTGTTCCTGTTTCCATATCAGCAGGGAATGCCCACCTTGTTATTTGAAGAAGCTCCAGTGGTATTAGAGCAGTATAGCAGAGCTTAGTTTTTAAATTTTTTTTAACTTTTGTAGTCTGACTTGTATATGAAAAGAACATAGAGGTTGAGACAATCAGCTCATTAAATCAGGATGCTGGTTAAACCAGAATCAGCAGTTTTTTTTTTTTTAAAAAAATGATCTCTTATAACTTCAGAACATAGTGTTAGGTTTCTGAAATTTGGACAGCAGATGAAAGAGAAAAATTTCGCCCCTAATTAAAAAAATTTTTTTTTCTTTAAATTTCTCTATAGAGGAGGGATGTGTGAGAAACTAAATTTTCCCATTGAATTGGCATTACATATTCTGCACAAGCTTTATTTTTTTCAATTATTTAACTGATAACATCAGGGATGTTTGCTAACTTACAGTTCTATTTAATTAAAAATGAATTCAGCTGACAATGACTACAATGTAGGGCATTTGAAAAGAAATACTGTCCAGAGATTTCAAACACATAAAGCTCATTTTCAGTAAAAAGCCTAATAAACATAATCTATGTTCACATGGAAAACAAGTACTTTTTTTTGTTTTTGTTTGTTACAAAATCTCAATTACTACATGGCTTTGATTCAAAGAATCTTTTAACTACAATGTAGGGCATTTGATAAGAAATACTGTTGAGACATTTCAAACACATAAAGCTCATATTCAGTTAAAACCCTAATAAACATGATCTGTGTTCACCTGGAAAGAAGTACTTTCTTTTATTTGTTGTTGCAAAATCTCAATTACTGCATGGCTTTCATTCAAAGCAAGGTTTTTACAAAACCCTAAAGTGTACTTAAGTGTGCAACCTTTATTGGAAAAAGAGCTGCAACAAAAATAAATAATTAAATAACTTCAAGAAACTGCAATGAATTATTTTTTAAAACTAAATTAAAAGTTTTCAACTTTCTCTGTGAAAAAATTAATTCCATTAAATTTTTTGTGGCATGAAAATTACTAAAGTTTTCTACTACAATTGTTTTGCTCTTATGTCTGGATTTAAAAAAAAGATCTTAAAAAAATAATTATAATTTATGAGTCAAAAGATATTTAAACCTTGAATCAGCACACCTACATTTTGATGTTATAGTCGTATTTTATTATTTTTTAAATATTATTTGGAAAATAGCAATGCTTCATTGAAAAGCAGGGGGCCGCATAATCCCCTCCCCAAGCATTAGGTTATGCAGCCTTAGTGTATTACATTCATTTTTTAAAACCCTTTAACTTAGAAGAAAATGTGACTTTTAATTATGCTATTGTACAATAAAACATTAAAAAAAATAATAAAACTAAATATTTTATTAAAAATTATGTAAATAATATAATTATGAAATAATTGAAAATGTGTATTATAGTTTCCTTTGAAAGAACAGGTTTATTTTTTAAAAATAAAAAAAATTTACAGTTTGTTCAGCTTAAATATATTAGAATCAAAGACTATTAGCAATTTTGATTAACATAGTCAACAATGGATTTCTTGAATTTTAGCAATTTTTGAAAAGTAAAAATGTTTTATTACTTGGTTATTTGTGTGTTAAGAAATATCTTGAAGAAGTTAAAAATAAAATTGTGTGAACTAAATTTAGACAAAATTAAAACTTTTTGCCAAATTTAAGAAATGTATTCTTATACACTGATTGATTTTCGATTTTTACAATAGGTATGTCTTAATTTTTCTGTAATAGGTTTATTTAATTTAGATTAAGTTATTGCACCAAATATTTGAGTCAATTTGATAAAATTGAAAATTAAAAAAATTTTCTTAAAAAATATTTGAATTACTACTTATAAAAATTTTAGCTTCGGTTTGATTGCTTCTTGCCCATAAAACTTGAAACAGCAGAGCACTTTAAAATTTTTTGTCTGTCATAAGATGTTTTGATTTAAAATAATTGCTTTAATTAAAAGTAACTCTTAAATATATTTTAGGCAAAACATATTTTATATTATATTTTGTAATATTTTAAATGAATAATAAAACAGATTCTGAAAAAAAAATACACTTTAATAATAAATAGGTAAGAGAGGGAGTAAATATGTAAAGACAAACAATGTAAAAATTAAATTATAAATAAAGTAAATACATAAAATCACATTGTTTTTCCCCCCCCATTAAATCTGATTTGATTCCATAATTTTGATCATTTAAACAGCATAAATTGTTAAGCACTTCAACTTATGTTTTAACAGTTTAAGCTTTATTTAATAAATAAAACATTTTATAGGTGTAGAAGTAAGTTTGTAACAAATGATAAAAAATGTTTATGAGGTTTTCCTAGACAGAGCAGCTTTATTTTATTGCTAGAACTATCAGATAAATTTTACAGTTATGTTAAAGGTTATTACATCAAGAACAAATAAATGAAATAAAAAGTTAGGAATAATTTAAAAATATATTATATTAAATTTTTTTAATTGAATTAGTAACAAATGAATCTATGAAGACAATTACTAGAATTTCAATTATTTTTAAATCATAAAAATGCTATTTAGAAACCAAGTTACCAAAAATTTTTATAATAGTTAAAAAATACCATTTTCGTAATGATATCATTTTTATTATAAACAAAACTAAACTTTTTTTCACTGTATGAAAGGAAATAAGAATACAAAAATATTCTCATACATAAGTTTTTATCAATTTTTATAAGACATGCTTTAATTTTTTCTGTATTAATTATTTGTTTATTTACATATACCAAATAACCAGTAACAATCTGAACAAAGAATTTTTCTTGTTTAGTTTTTTAAGCTATATTTTGATTAAAAAAAAAGCTTAAATTATAAAGTAAATCCAAATATTTTTTACGTTGAACATACTTTCTACTTGATTTAATAATATTTTTGAGAGCGTGGTAAAGAATAAAAGACAGACAATAATCAAAAATATACTTTAATAATAATAAATATATAAGAAAAAGAGATTAAATGTGTATAGCAAAACAGTGTAGAAAAAAACTACAAATAAAGCCAGTACATAAAATTATATTAGCTTTTTTCCCTTTAAATCTTATTTGATTCTATAGCTTTGATCGATCAAGGGCTAGTCAATTTCCCATTTCTTTCTTCAAGTTTTCAGCTAACTTATCCAAAAATTCAAAAGTGTTGAGATAATCAGCTCTAGTGACACTATAAAAAGAAAAGGAGTATTAAATAATTACTTATCCATGGGTTAATAATAGTTTATTAGTTTTTAAATAAATAAGAGGAGCATTTATAAAAGTGTAAAATTCTTATTAAAAAAGTACATTGATATTTCATAGAAAAATAGTTTTTAATTGCTAAAATACATTAATATTTTTTATTAATTTCTACAGTACATTTAGACTGTAAAAGGTAATTTCAGAAATTATAGAAAGGAATATAAACATTTTAATAAAATAACATAGAATGCCAAAATGTCTAAAGTGATTTAACTTTATAAAGCTTTTTTCATAGATGTGCTACACAAGAGTGAAACAAGCAATTTCCATCTCTTTTTCTAACACTAAGCTATGGTAAGAAATAAATTTAAAACAGCAGCCATAACTTAATATTATATTAAATTTAACACTTATCTCAAATTAAATATTTGACCTGACTCAGTAATTAAAGTTACATAGCATAATTTTACAACTGATACACAGTGGAAACAAATTCAGAACATTTTTCTTGTGATAGCAATACAAACAAAAGGAGAAAGTATACATTTCAGGAAAAACTGAAAATAAAAAATGTTTTTTAGATGAAAATATGAGTTTCTTATACATTAAGGCTGAAAGTAGCTTGTAATTTAATTATTTTTGTGAACCATGCACCATTTTCTGCCAAGTCCACACTTTAGCTAGGCTACTTAATGTACTTTAACGGCACACAATAATAAGTTGCAGGCTAAAGATAGGTGTTCTCATGGATAGTAATGGTAACTTTTCAACTTGCAACCATTTTTTTTTATCTTGATGACATACCTTTCCTAAGGTTTGAACATCTAGCTTTCAGGTGCGTTAAGAAATGAGATATTTACTAAAAGATTGGTAACTTTTCTTCTGTAAAAACAGAACATGATGTATCATTTTGATTCTGAAATATGAATCAAATCTCATTTTATATAGAATCACATTTTCATCTAAAGGACAGTAGAAACATTCAAATTTGTTGTATATTATTATATTTTTCTTAATGCATTTGTCATTGTCCCCCACCTTCAGACTAGCAGACATATTGCAGGACTTAACCAAAGTCTGTTTCATTTTATCATCCATAAATGTAAATTTAGGTGACAGAGCAATGTAAATTGAAAATATAGTAAATTTCAAGTACATCCACTGTACTAGCAAAATAAGTGGTGGTTGGTGCATTGATCAAGTACTGTCATTAATCTCTTTCTATTTTTTTAAAATCACTCCTCCCTGTATTTTAAAACTTCTGCATACAATTACGAAATTAAGTTTATAAGAGTGATATAATATTTAGTTAAAGAAATTAATTTCTTAAAATTATTCTATTTTTTTTAATGTTACTTCAAAGTTATAGAACAAAATTGTTTCTGAATACTGTTAGAACTAATCAATTATGCTAATCTTAACTAATAATAATAAAATATTAACATTTTGACATGAAAATATCACAAAATATGTGCAAAATTAAGTTTTGCAATAAAAATATTTTTCAAATTAACCACTATTTTCTCTAATTACAGAATCTTTTTGTGTCATGGCCTTTGAATCTAATTATTCAATGGCAATGGTACAAAAGTCCCCATTCTTTCCGCATAAAAGTTTTGAGACAATCCAAACATTTGCGCTGTTTATCAGGGGATCTTGTTTTTTCATATTATATATATATATATCTTAGAGCGTTATCTTAGCTCATACAGTTTAGATCCCCTAAAAATAAAAGTCTAGTAATTTAAGACGAAATGCAAAAGATCATCTTTCTATTATAATAAAATAAACTTTTTCAGTGGGACAACTCCTAGACATAAAAGTTGTCCAATCATCCTTCGCTCTACTTTAATATTCAATATAATTCTAAACAACTGCTGTGTATTACACTACAGCCAATTTAATTTTAGAGGTAGAAGATATGTAATCCTAAACAAATAAAAAGGAAAATTAAAAGATACAACAATTTTTTTTAATTGTAACAGTATTTAGAAGTCAATATAAAATCTCAAACTTTTGTCAAAAGCATGTTTAATTTGAGGGTTTATGTAGTATTTGTTTTGTGCACAAACATTATAAAAAAGGAAAATTGAAAATTTGGTGTTCCAACTTTTTGAATTTATTCTGCTTTTTTATAGGAAATTATGGTAAGTTAGATACAGTTAGAAGTTTTAAAAACTAAACTTAAATAGTCATATTAAATTCTTTTATTTGTTTAAAAACTATTTGCATTATATTTTTGAAGTTTTAAGTAATTTTTTTAATAAACATTTAAAATACGGTTTAATGTCTTGGTTTTTTTTTAAGTATTCACCTAAAAGTGATCTTGCTCCACAGAACCTAAAATAATGACTTTAACCTAAATAATGACTAAAATAATGACTTTAACCTAAATAATGATGCCCAGCAATACTTCCCAAAATGGAAAAGAAAATCCTACAGGTTTAATTATTTAACATTAATCTTCGATGTTTTCAAACTTAAAGTTGCAGGCTTATTTGTATTAAAATTTTTTTTTCTTCTAAAATACTTGATGGGAAAAATAATGCATAGCAGGGAAATTTCAACATAATTTTGTCTCCGAACAAAACACTTGGGCTAAGAAAAAAAAAAGTCTGCAACAATAATAAAGTCAGGAAAAATATCTGGAACAATAATTCAAAATAAAAGACCAGAAAAATGCTATGACGGAAAGAATATATATATTACAAATAAAATATTAAATATTGGCTATGTAAAATAACTAAGTTAAAATGGCATACCCTTTCATTCCTTTTATACAAATAGCAAGATCCTTGGTCATGAATCCAGCTTCAATAGTTTCCACGCAGACTTTTTCTAAAGTTTTAGAAAAATTAGATAATTTCAAATTTGCATCAAGTTTTGCACGATGAGCCAAACCTCTTGTCCAGGCGAAAATTGACGCTAAAAAGGGTAAAAAAAATAAATATATATAAGACATAATTATCAACAATAATGGGTTTTATATACTATTTTGAATGTTAGTGCAGAAGAATCATTCATAATCCATTATTACATATTCAAATTACAAAACAGTTGAATTATCCAGAATTCAAAAGAAGAAAGAAAAAAAAACAGATGTGACAAATGACATTCAGAAAGATTTGTTATCACTTGAAACACTGCTGTTGTAAATATTAGGAAAATAAAGGCGACAGCTATTTTAAAGAGTATTTAATATGAACTTAGAAATGAAAAGAAAAGAACGACTAGAAAAAATAAACTCAAATATACAAGAAATAGAAGTTGCCAGATTACAAAAGTGCAACTCTACAGGAAGAAATAAAAATAGCGTGAGGCTCGCTGATAGCATGCTCGATTTATAACAATTGCATTTAATGATCACTTTTTCCATACATTTTAATTCATATCCAGATAATTTTGACACAGTAATCTAAGAGCAAAACTCCTACATTCTGCCAACTGTTATTTCCTCATGACAAATTTTAAAATCATTACTATTTATGTTTCCTGAAAAATTACATCAAGTAGATTATAACTAATTTTTCTTATTGAAAAATTTTTGTAAGACGTGTAATTGGGTTAACATTTAATCAGTGATATTGGCATCACAAATCTCTCACATTTTAAATTTTTTTTTGCCACACTTACCATGATTCATAGTCACACGGTTTAGTAACCTCACACTGAAGCAATAAATGTTTTCACAAATGATGCAAAGTAAACCAAATCAGACCAGTTTACCATGTTTTTGATTTAAGATTAGGCATTCTAAAATATTACTGTATAATAAGGCATGAAAAATAAACATCAATAAATTTTTTTTTATTATCTCTTTCTTATTACATCACAATATAAGGAGAAATTAGCAAAGTAAAGCCTAAGCAAAATATTATATTGCACAACTGACACATTATCAGAGGAGGAGTCAGACATAAACCCTTAAAATTTTGAAGTTTCTTCCAAAAATATAAATTACTTACAACTTACATGCCATTTTCAAAAGAAACGAAGACTGTGACAAAGTTAAGATGTAGAGGAATCAGTTCCTTCTATTTATAGAAAATTCTCAACATCAGAATTATATGATATTTCATTATACTTATGTGCGGTGCACATAAGCAGCATGCCTGATGAAATAAAATTTGATTTGCGTTTGAAGTATTATTTAAAAAAAAATTTAATTCGGAATATCTAAATATTTTTACATTTCATTTATAAACATTGGGAAATTTATAACATAAACCCATAATTTCCAAATTAAAAAAAGTTGTATATAAATATTAACAGTCAAAATAACTTAATTTATATTTTGTTTCAGCTTTACATTGGCAACATTATTAAAATTAAGAAATGAACTGAAAATGCAAATTAAAGTACATCAGAAAATACTGTTCTTAGAGTTTATGTGTAACATTAAAAAAAAGAAAACTAGACAGAAATGAATTTACCAATAGGATTAGTTGAAGTTTCTTGACCTTTTTGATGCATTCGATAGTGTCTAGTAACAGTTCCATGAGCTGCTTCTGCTTCAACTGTTTTACCGTCAGGGCAAATTAATACGCTTGTCATCAAACCCAAAGATCCATAGCCTAAATAATTATAAAAGAAGTATAACTTAAAACTAAAATGTTGATGAACTCTAATAACCATACAAAGTTTACAAACACCTAGGTTTAGCATAGAAAATATAACAATATTTACAAAATCATTAACAACATCATTAAGATGCATTAACTTAATGATTGAAATTTTAAAACCTTACTTATTACCAGATTATAATTGAACATTTGAAAATTTTTAATAAATTATATTCAAAACATAGTTTTGAGTTAGAATTAATAATTTTTTTTTAATATTATGCAAGAAAAATATTTTGCCAATTCTTTAAGTAACATCATAACTGCAGCATCTTATTAATTGCACAGTGAAAATAGCTAATAAGATGCTGCAGAATCATTTTATTGTGCTTTATTAAATAAGTCTTTATAATAAAAATATAAAAGATAAAATAGTTATGACTGTTAAAAAATTTTTTCAAACATAAGAACAAAAGGCTTTAGACTTTATATTGCTGCTAAACAATACAAACATTTTATTATTTTTAAGGAATTATGCTTTATTAAATAAGCCTTTATAATAAAAGAAATAAAAAAAATAGTTATAATTTTTAAAACAATTTTCAAACATAAGAGCAAGGTTTTAGACTTTATATTGTTGCCAAGCATTAAATTTTTTTTAAGGAATTATGATTAAAAAAATTTTTTTTTACTGGGATAATACTTTTAGATTCTGTGGGAATGTTTTTTTATGTCTTAACGTTCTAGAATGAATTAAATTTTTGTGTTGATGTGATGATAAAGTGTTTAAAATTTTCAAAATCAATTAGCTTAAGTATTAAAAATTTGTATTCAATAAATAATTGTGTGCAGTAAAAGCTGTTTTATTTATTTATTTTTAAAAATGAAGAATTATTTCATTAATTTAAAAAGAAAACATTTTTCATTTCAAATATTAAAGAAAAAATAATAATGCAATAACCAAATTGGATTTTATCCTTAAAATATGTTTCTTAATATAATTTTATTAGGTGGTCCAACTTGCTCAATGAGGTGGATCCTTTATCCTTAGCTTAAAGGTTGTTAATTCAGTGTTCAAGTTTTTTTTCTTATAAAGTAGAATTTTTTTTTATTAGAACATTTAAAAAAAAAATGTAGAATGATGAAAAGTATGCAATTTGTCCAGCAGAGAATAATTAAACTATATGCATAAATTTTTAATGAGATGAAAATTGAAGTTGAAAAGTGGACCAGCTACATACCTAAAGACAAAATTCTCTAATAAGTTTGAGTGAACATAAAAAAATACAGTGTTATTTATTTAATAATTATTGGAATATCTAGAAAAAGCTTACAGGAAACAATTATTGATGTTCTCAGTCTAAGATCTTCAACTTCTTTAGAGGGTTTATTATACTATTTAGATATATGTGGTTTCTTAATAGGGATATCCTGCTGCACTTTCAATTTAATTTTTTGTCAGACATAGCTACTAGCACTGTTTAACAACATAACCTATAGAATGTAATATTGTAATATTTTAACTTCAGTTTGATGCAGCATTTATGCATTTTGCTCTTTTGTAAATTACACGTTTAACTCTTGAGACCTTCAAATATAGAAATGTAAGACAACTAAACTTGATTTTTATTTAATGTTTGACTACAAAATTTATACTTTAAAGTAATAAATATGTTTCCTTAAAGTAATGAATATGCTTTCTTCACAGTTTCTTAAACCACTTAAAAAAGGGTATTCTTTTTTTTCTCTTCTTTTTATGAGACAAGAAAACTATTTTATCACCTTCTTCAGTTTTAAAGGATGTTTGAATCGATTTTCTATNCAAATTAACATATTGGATAATAAAGATATTCAGTATAACATTAAAAAATTTTTTTTATGCACTTGTATCTTGTATCAAGTTTGTATTTATACAACATAACTTGCAAGTTCCTTATAAATATTAGTTATATATGTTCCTTATATGTCAAATATGCATAGTAATAAACTTTTAATTTTCTTAAGTATCCAAAAGAAAAAGAAAAAAAAATTTAAATATAAATATTTAAACAATTTTTGTGCAAAATTTTTCTGCACATGCATTTGAATATAAATTTCTGAGATTTTAAATCTGTTATTTTACCTTAATTTTAATTAAAAAATATTTTAAAACCTGCTGATTACCTACAGTATAATTAAATTTCAATATAATGCATGGCAACTGTTGGTACTTTTGAAGTTTATATATTTTCTTGGCAAACTTCAGTTTTTGACATTTTTGAGGGGGTTTTTGACGGTTTAAACCAGTATTATACCCTTGTCATGTCAAAAACCACTTTTTGACGTCAAAAACCCAACCCTGCCTTAAAGTAATGAATATGTTTTCTTCACAGTTTCTTAAACCACTTCAAAATGGGTATTCTTTTTTCTCTCTTCTTTTTATGAGACAAGAAAACTATTTTATCACCTTCTTCAGTTTTAAAGGATGTTTGAATCGATTTTCTATATTTCATTTCCTGACTATGGCCCTGGTCACATCCTATAAATGGACTTACCTTCCACTATCTATTATATCTTTAAGCATTTAACCTCAGTGCATTAATGAATATTTAATAAAATATCCTCCAAAAAATAGTAGAAAGGACAAACAAGAAAAAAGTTCTATATAGTAAGTTGTAAGTGTAGTTTAACATTCTTGTTATTAACCAATCACAACTGAGAATAACTTTAATTAAAAAAGAATTGACTACATAATTTAAAGTAATGAACTAGATACAATTGCCAATTAGTCTTATCTTTTTTCAGACATGCATTGTAAAGATCCACTTAATTGTAAATGATAACAATAATCATTGTTTTTAAAAACTGTCAAGATACCAATCTTTTCATAAACTGATAAATACTGATAGAATACAAAACAATAGAGAGAATCACTCATGCAGAAAAAAAGTCTAACCACAGAAGAAATTTTTATTATCTGAAGAGCACAATGAACTTAAGTCTTTTTTTTCCTTCCCTTTAATATTTATTACCTAATATCTTCAAATTTACGAAATTATAAACTTCTTTAAATACCCACTAGATATGTTTCATGAAAATAATTAGTACAATTATTCCAGAAATATGTTCTAAAGTAAATGTAAAAATTAGATTCATACAAAAATTATAAATATGATGCTCAAACAGCATATTATAAGTGATAAGTTTATCACTGATAGAAATGATTGAAACACTGTTTAGAAAATGCAACACTAAATTAAATAAAATTTTTTTCTTCATCAAACTGAGTTTATAAAATATCTTTAATAAAAAGCCTACATTTACAGCTTTTAAAGTGTCAATAAATCATTATAAAAAAGTAATAATAAAATTATTAAAAATGAAAACTATAACGATAATAAAAATTATAATGATAATAAAAACTATAATAAAACTTATAATAATAATAAAAGATATAATAAAATTATGATAAAAATATGATAATCAAACTCTAATTCATGGTGTATTAATAACTAGTACACAAAATTTGCAGTATTTTATACAAAATTAGAATCTCTCTAGCAGCACTTACAATACTTAAAATCTGAGGTAATATATTGAACTTTTCTTTTTATTAGAAAACTACAATTTTAAAAGTAAAATGTGGTTAAATTATGTTCAAGACACATTTATGAAATGAAATATTTTCAAAATTTTTATATATATTCAGTTACAAATTTAAAAGAATTTTTTCATTAAATTTGAAATATTTAAAAAAAAATTACTGTTATTTAATTCATTTTTAAACCTTAGTGTTTGCTCAATACCTTAACTAATTTTATGTGAATAAAAAAAGAAGTACTAATGACAACCTTGAGCAACAGAATCTGATTGGACATCTCCATCATAGTTTTTGCAAGCCCACACAAAACCTCCTTCAGATTTTAATGCTTGAGCAACCATATCATCAATAAGTCTGTGTTCATACCAAATACCTTGAGCTTCAAACTTTGACTTGTATTCTCTGCATAAAGAATACATCAGGGTTAGGAATATGGCTTAATTCAATATCTAATTTAAACTGCTTCAATACTTAAGAAATTGGTTTTTATTTTACAGTAGTCAATAAAGTTTTTATGCATAGCTTAACTTTTTCCATTACAGTGCCTACACAAATTTGTACAGAATGTTCAATTCAATGCATTGTTTCCATTAAAAAACATAGAAAGAAGCCTGCTTGATAAGTAAAAAAGTAGCCACATACAAAAAAGAAAAAAATAATGGCAAGGCTATGGGATTTTTTAATTTTTGATAATAGATACTATGTAAAATTATCTATTTGTTAAAATATGAAATATATGTTTTCAGTTAATAATCACTTAGTTAAAAAAAAAAAAATTCTAATTTCAAAAGCCCTGTTGTGGGAAATTTTTTTAAAATTACACAGTTAATAAAAAGATACTTGTTTATAACAATTAGTAACATCATCTGTTCGACTAATGCTTGAATTTTAAATTATTTTATAAAATGATTTTATATGAAGTATTTTAAGGTAAAAAATTGGAAATTAAGTCAAAAATAACTCATACTTATCATAAATTTCTTGAAATATATCTTTAAAGCGACCATCATATTTCTTCAGTATAGTGTTCTTTGTACTAAACAAAAACAAGAAATTTTTTTATATACATACATATATTTACAGTATGTATAAATATATATATACAGTTTACTCTGGATTATCTGTGGGCGGACAATCTGCATTGTAGATCATTTGCACTTTGAGGTTATTTATTTATTTATTATAATTTATTTTTTTTGTAATAATAAACAACATAGCATTTAGAATAGAAACTAAATACATTGACAGAGATGGAACTATTTTAAGAGTTTTGAGAACTACATACCAGCAAACATTCATGTTCATAGACAGGTGTTTTTTTGGTCTTGCCTTCATATGATGAATGGGAATCAATTATCTTCTTATTTTTAATCAATCACTTCAATTAATTCTTATCAATTACTTCTCCAATTACTTCTTATGATAAGTTTCATATTTAGTAAACATTTAACACCTTTTTGAATTCTTGTTAGATCGAAAATTGATAAACAACAATTAAGGGTGGTCCCTACCTAATACTTATGACCTTGAAGGAAAAAGAATGAAGCAGGTCTTTGAATAATTTATGGTTGCTATGCATGATTTCAGGATTGCAGTCAGTTGCTTATTTTTAGTTTTTTTACAGATGAAAGTTTCTAAAAATCCTGCAGGCACAGTAACTTTTTATAAGAACTTATTCGTATGCTTTGGATATTGTTTTGTGCAGTCTTTTATCACTAGTGTATGAAGTAGGGAGTTAAAAATCCGCTTGAGCCTGTTATGGCTTTTTCATACAGAAATAAAAATATATATATATAAAAGAAAATGTGAAAAAAACTGCTAATAGATTGTAAAACTTATTTATATTAATGTGGGTCCTTTCTAAGTACTTTGCAGATTATCTGCAAATTCCATTAATCACGCTTCATGAACCACTCAATTCTGTAGACAATCACGAGTTTACTATATGCATAGATTCTAAAAGGTTTACAAGCTTAAATTTTATAAAAGGAAAAATTGTATTACCTTAAATATAGAGGATAATTAGCTTGTAAAGCATATTGGAAAGAGCTGTGGGCAAAATCTGTAATTGACTGAAAAAATAATTAAAATTTAGAATTAATGACATTAGAAATTATTTTTTTAAAAATATTAGTAGTATAGTGTCCAAAAAAATAATTTTTTTACACAAAGTTTTAATTTTAGTCACAATTTTCATTCAATGTCCTATTATGAATGACAAATATAAGATAAAAATATAAAATTTCTCAATAATTTATATGTTCAAAGAACAATTGTGAAATACAATTCAATCTTGATTTCTTGCTTGTCAAGAAACAAGAAAAAAATTAGAAATAAAAAGTTTTCATGTAAACAAGTTAATAAAAAGAAGAAAAAAAATGGAAGAAAAGATAAGGAATTTCAAGGACATGATAAGATTTTTTAAGATTAAAATGTATTAGATTTCATAACATTTTCATTGCAAAACAGATATTTAAATGAGATAGGATAACATTAAAATAAAATAATATTACACATTTTCACTGCAAAACAGATATTTAAATGAGATAGGATAAGATTAAAGTAAAATAATAATACACTTCAAAAATAAGAATAACAATAATTTATTAGTAATTTAGCACTTTTCAATGACTTACATTTTATGTAAATAATTTGTCACAAAATTTTATGAAACAGTCAGCTTAACAGAAGGAAAACCTATTTTATTATTCTTAATGATGACTAACAATCTAATTATTTTATGCATATTTATTTTGAAGTAAAAATAACCATTTATTTAGAAAGTAAAAAAATATTGATAAGCATTATCAAACTGGATTATACAATCATCAGAACTTTGAGTAGCAATATTTTACCTTATCAGTGTTATACATGGAGAGAGAAACTCCACCCCCATCTTTAAAGTCAAAAACTGTATACTGAAGAGGAGTAGATCCATCCGCAGGTGTGTACTTTATTTCAAGCTTTCCTGGACCAGGTACAACAAAATCAGTAGCCCGATACTGAGGAAAGTAAATTAAAACTACTTATTTTAGCGAATTACCATCAAATTAAATCAGTGTTGCACAAATTTTTTGATTTAGATGGTATTTTTAACAAATCCTTGAATACTCTTATTACTTTAAGGTAAAGCAACCATGCTATTTCAGATTAGAATGTTAAAACTTTATGAGACTTATCTCAAATTGTTTGTATTTCAACTTCTTTTATTTTGCAATACAATTTTTTTTGTGTTACTTATAATAAAATATGCATATACAGTTGTTTAGCATTAATTATAACTTCAATAAATAATAAATAGTTAACACCAATTAACATTTAAAAGAAATAATTTAATATTTACATAACAATTGATTTTTAGAACTTCATTTAGATAAATTGGAAATACAGAAAGAAATTCGAAGCATCACTACACAGCGTAAGATATCGAGTGTGTCTGCCATAAGCTGAATGTTCATGGCTCTCACGTCTGGACAAGTTATAGTTAAAGTTTACTTCGAAAGATGGGAGCTAGGCTCGACCACTGCAGTGGTTTAACTTATTAAGAGATTAAAGAGTGTATTAATAAGCAAAGCTATAGAAAATTTAACAAATATCGAAAAATTAAACAAATAGTAGTAATAAAACAAATACAATTTCTTCAACATGCATTTAAATGTCAAAAGGTTTTCTAATCTTCTACCAATGACCAAACAGGGTTGCCACTCAAATCTGGAAAAAAAATTCCCTGTGTTTTCTCAGTGCATATTATACACAACATATTAAGGAGAATGAATTACTGTACTCCTGTATGAGCTATATTGAGCTAACTATACTAGTTTTAATTGATGGAAACACTTAGAGTAAAAAAGGAACAGCTGAACATACTTAAATAATGCTATAGTAAATTAAATAGTTCAGTATAGCTAAAATATCATCTTTATATACTCCCCATTTTTTAAAAGTGGAAAATAAGGAACAAAATTCCCTGTAATTCTCCAGTTTCTAAAGAAAAACTCCAAATTTCCTGCATTTTCCCTGTTATTTTAGGTGATTTTTAAATTAAAGGAAAAAGGAAAGGTAAAAAGGAAACAGTTTAAATTGAACAACTTTTTTTGAGTTATAATCCTCATATAACTATTTTTATGATAAATGTTGGCTATTAGCGAGTGAAAAATGCATAAATTATTTTTGTCATACCAGCAATTACATTTTAGGATCTATTTATTTATTTGATTATTATTGATATTATCATTGATCTAATATTTGACAAATTTCATCAAATACATAAATTCTCTGTAATTTTTAATGAGGTAAATATAGACGCTCTTATTTGAGGTATAAATATTTTGTAAAGATTGCCTGCCATTTTAATCTTTACTAATTATGTTCCTGTCCATAAGTTTTAAATAATATTTTTGCACACCCTTTAAGGGAAATTCTAAGTAAAAACAAAAAAAATTATCTTATCCACATATTATATTATTTAAAAGAAATTTAGCATTTATTTACAAAGGAAAAACATGAAACTTTTTAACTCCATGATAATCATGAACATGAAAAATAATAGAAAATAATCATGATAATCATGAACATGAAAAATAATAGAAAAATAAATATTACTTGGTCGCCATATGCATGACGTCCAATAATAATTGGTTTTGTCCAACCAGTCACTAAACGAGGAATGTTTTTACAAATAATGGCTTCCCTGAACACAGTACCACCCAAAATATTTCTTATAGTGCCATTAGGAGATTTCCACATCTGCTTTAATCCAAATTCTGAAATGAAATTTATAAAAATTATTCAAAGTACACAACAATAATGAAATAATAAATAAAAATGTGCGAATTCTTTTTCATTATTATGATAAGCATTACTGATGCATAACATGTATATTAAACTACTAACTAGCGGCAGAATTTGGTACATTGATAATCTGTGAAACTATCAGATATTTAACAAAACATTTTTGAGCAATTTTTATGAAAAGCTGGAAATAATTTTTTGGCTTGAATTATTATTGTTGCACTAATTTGTCTTAGCGTTGACACTAAAATAATACAATTTTCCTACTATTTCCATAAGGTTACAAAACTTGATTCAAACCCTATAATTTAAAAACCACCATAAAATTCATTTTTATTATCATTTCATTGCTAAAATTTCTTAGCTCAGATTTGTTTAGTGCCATAGAAGTTATTATCATTATTGTCAAAAAAAATGTATTGTCTAAATCATAAAATTTAATAATAAACATGTTGTATAAATTAAATTTTTTATAATTACATTAGTTATTTATTACAAAATAAAGTGATGTATTAATCTTTTTATTTAGGGTATCATGAACAATTTAAGAAAAATATTGGTTAATTTGAAATTTAAGAATCTAAAGAAAAAGGATATTATCTTTCGTATAATAGAGAAAATAAACATTTTAATATATGAGGAGAAAAAACAGATGAATTTATATTGCACTATAAAATTTTTTTTTAAGAAACAAGTTTTTAATTTCATAATTTAAATTTACTATTGTATTTTTACTATGATGTGAAAAATAGGAATTGTTCGAACAAAATATGGCAATCTCATTTTAATAAATATAACTAAATAATAACAATCCATTGCTCTAAAAAAGAATTTTAAGCAGGCAGGAGTACTTACCAGTAACACGATTTTCATCAGGAGTAATGGTTGCACATTTAACACCAACATTGTATTTCTTGATAGCATTTGCACAATCAACAGTAACTATTTGCATGGAAAGAATTACATCAATTGAAAAAAAAAAAAAAATAGAACTTCACAAAATAAATTGAAAATTAATACTGATTTACATAAAATAAATAATTAACATAGTTAAGTAAAGCTGTTGGAATTTATAATACATATTTATTTAAAGATGCATTGATAAAAATTGTCTATAATAATAAATTTATAAATCAAAAACCTATTATGTTATAAGTATTGTCTTAATTACCTTGATCATTAGTTGCATCCCGATTTTGTACACTTAAATCAAAGAAGTGAAGTTCAATATCTAGAAAAGGTAGAATAAGTTTTTCTTTGATCAGGTCCCAAATAATCCTGCAGATGAAATGATATTTATTAAAAAAATTGATATAAAAAAACAATCCTATTATAGAATTCTTGTTTAATATTTAACTCAAACTGCATCACAAAATGAACAGATGAAGAGTTATTTATTCACCAGTATGAGAAGAAATCCTTTTTTTAAAAAGATATTTTAAAATGCGATAAAGATGTGACATATCTGATTTTTGGGAGATTTCCCTATCGGTAATCACCAATGAACTAAACACTTTTTGAAAAAATATATTTTTTACAAAATGTCATTGGTTTCTAAAAAGTATGTTGTTTGCATGGTGTTAGGTACAAGTTATAACTATAGGTTTGGTCCTCAATTGTACTTTTTTTCTTTAGTTTCTAGGGTGCTACTATCCGGAAACCTCAAAATCTTGGAGATTATTTCGACACAGGTACTGATACAGTAATTTTCCAACTACTTATATAGTGACAATAAACAAAAATCTATCACCAAAGTACTAAAATATTAAAGTTGCACAAAAAAATCAAAGAAAAATAGAAAAGCAGTTTTAAATAAAAAAGTATAATAAGCAAAAACTAAATATACAAATTACCTTGTCATCTCGTCTCCTTGAATTTCAACTACAGGTCCACCTAAAATCAATAATCAAATTGTTTCAATATTAATGGTAATCAAAAATAGTTATCAATATAGACTGAAAACAATCATACTACAAAAATATACAACACACAACTTGTTATAAAAAAACTTTATTTTTATTTTGCAGAAATTATTCATAACTGACAATCTGAAGAAAATGTTTAGCATAAATTTATAATTGTTACAGGGGCTATAATTATGATACAACTTTTTTGTTTTGTTTTTTGAATAATCTAGTTTATAAACTGTCTGAAAAGCAGGAATTATTTCTACTCTGATATACAAATATTTTTATTTCTACTTAGATTAAAAGCCTTTAAAAGCTGTAAAAGTATCCTCATAAATATACTATTTATAGAATTCAAAAGTTATCCTCGAAAGAAATATAGCATAAAAACCGATAATAAATTACAGTTATTCTAAGTCGATATTTATGGAAGATACACCTTTGATCGCAATTATATAATTCATAATTATGTTTAAAGAACTCAAAAACACTTAAATATTTCGTAATTTATATAGATCTGAAATCGGGTAGCGGCGGATTAAAATTATTCAGTTGTGATACATTAAAAATTTAATTATAAATTGGATTGTAAAAATTTTAACTTACACTGTATTTTAGACATGGTTTAAGGAAAAAAATTTCCGGTTAATAGATGAGAATGGAGAAGTTTTTAGTCGTCTTTCACTTCCTTTAGTTTACGCAACTTATAATTGAACTCTGTACACCTCAGACGACAAGAAAAGATGACAGGAAAGTAACGATGAAAATTTAAGTTATCTATTTTTTCACCTGATTGCAAAATAAAACAAAAAAACGAAACTAGTCCAGCCCCTTTGAACAGCCAATTAAAAACAGGAAACCCTCAGGATAAATAGAAAAGCGAAAACTACAGTTACATGATGACCGGCTAAAGTTCAAAATGTTCTTGGAGATTTCTTGATATCAAAATTGAATTGAAATATAAAATGAAAATAAGACATTTAGGATTTAATGCAAGCATTCGACCAATTTCAAACTGCATAAGCTGTAAAATATAACTAATGAAGAATATGGCATCTCGTCACTGCAACTTTAATGGTTAACATCAATTAAAGAAACAAGCAACAGGAAGCGTTGCAATAACAAATAATCATAATAAACATTGATCTATTTATGAATCGTTTTTCTTACGAATGTTATCCTTACTTTTTTTTTCTTCAGTTATTTATTTAAAGTTTGGTATTCTTTGAGTTTTTTTAAATCTATAATCCTTTAAATCGTATATGTGAACAATTAACATGTCTAGCTCAGATGTTTTAGCTTGTACAGTTCGTAGAAAAATTTTGTTTGCAGCAGTGAGTGCAGCTTGTTATGAAGTTGGATTTAGCTCAGCAGAGAAATCTGCTTTAGAAACTCTCACAGAAATGTTTCAAAGCTGTAAGTTGATTCACTAATATGTAGTATTTTCTTTTTTTTCCCCAAATTTTCCTGACTATCTAAATACACCAAATACCAACCAAACTACATATTTTATGAGAAACCTGGAACTACAGAATGTGGCTAATTCTACATGAATTCTCTATTCCCCATTCTATTTAACTGTGTATTTTAATAGTTTCTGTAGATAAATTTGATAAAAAAGCATTAATAAATTTAATGTATCTAGCCTTTGATAAATTTGCAACTGAAGTTTATTTCTACTAATAGATCGAAATGAAATAGTAGAATAAAGATCTGTAAATATTTATGTGATCTCAATGAGAGATTATAGTTAATTTTCCTATCAATTGTCCATAATGGGGTCATGAAGGTTTAGTATACACCCATTATTACGAGATTAATGGCAAATTGCGGTAAGCTTTGCGCACTTGTGTCTTTTTTTCTAATACAGCTGTTACTCAGTGATCTGAATTTGAGTGCGGGTAAATGTATCCAAATCCCAAATACAGTGATCACCAATAATAAAATCAATGGTCCCGCAGTGTACTGATCGTAAAGACTCGCTTCCCAGCAGATCACTGGCTGCGGTCAGTGTGCGGGTGGATCACCACTATGGTCAGTCTGCATAGGGACCAAAGGTGTGTGGTATTAGTCCTCATTAAAACTGTTCTACCGTAAAGTGCTTGACTTCGGGTGCAGGTTGTTGGGCTATCAAAGCGGGGGTGCCATCCCCTCTGCAGAGGGTGAAAATTGTGATAACTTGTCTTCGGATCATCCTCAGGGATGCTTCCCAGACCGTCGCCAATAGCCCATTGTGCAGCTCTAGCGCGGCGTAAATTAACTACAACAATAAAATCGATGAGTTATGAGATCGGCCACTTTTTAAAATCAAATATGCAGGAACGAACCAAATCATGCTAGTATCATCCTTTTATGAGACCATGATTGCCGTTTTGCAAAATCAAATTTTTTTTGGGTGGATGTTTAAAAAGTTAAATTGTGGTTTTTCTTTTTATTTTCTTAAATTTTGATAAAAGTTTATTAATTAATAAAAGTTATGTGGTAAGTTAAATCAATCTTAAATAAATGTCGGAAAAGCACTTGATATTTGAAAATGAACTTTGAAGTAAAGATAAGAAAATATTAAAAGTTACTAAAACCCTTAAACTTTACTGAATCTTAAATTTTGCTGATCAAGCAAATGTGCTTCTATTTTAATACCCTTCTGTAAGTTTTTTAAAAAAAGGTAGCTCTTGTTTAATTAAAATGTCCAATGTAGTTTCAGTAAGAATGAATTGTAAATGAAGTAATCAAATCAATATAGCCTTTAGTATAATTATAAAGTTTAACTTCGAAATTTGTATTTTCCAAGTATAGATATTCTTGTTTATAAAATCAAATGTTTTCAAAACAGAAGTTATTTCAATTCATTGCATTAATTATTAACTCAAAATTTGTAGTTTTTCATATTTTTAAAGCAAATTTTGTTTGAAAGGATATTTAAAACTTGGAGATTTATTTTATTATATTAATCCCCAGATTATTTCTTAGTCTTCTAACTATGTACAAAGTGCAATAAAATGTAGTACTTGTACAATAAAATATAGTATAGTACCTTAAGTGCAATCAGTGGTCTATTTAGGTTTTTCTGAGAGGTACCTATTTTGCGAAAATTTAGACATAATTTGTGAAAAATTAAAAATTATGTTAAAAAATCAACATAAAAATATGGATTTATTGTTTCTTACGGGATACAAAAGTAAAATTTTAAGAAAAAGTATTTTGTGAAACTAACGTTTTTCCTAAAGTTGAATTTGTGAAGGTACCGCTAAACGGTAGTAAATTTGGCCTGGACAGACCCCTGACAATGTATATACATTAAGTACAAAAGAAATAAATTAAAACCAATCCTAATGTGTAGGGATTGTAAATTATTTTCCTGTAATCTCCTATTCTGTTCACATGTGTTCATCAATTCATTCCGCTCTTCTTGCTTGCATTGATAAATACAGGACTTTGATTTTTACTCTACCAATAGAAGTGTCTAATGTAAGAATGAAACAAATCAAGACAAGAGTTTCGTATTTGTATCTGTGCCAAAATGGTTGATAAGGTTATTGTTATATCGTGACCTAAAAAAACCGCAGATCAAGGCAAACTCTGAGAGTGACATTCATAAAAAATTCTATACTTAAATTCTTTAAGCATCTATACATTTCTTTAATTTTATTGCAAGCACAAAAACCAGATAGTGGTGTCTTGGTGATTTCACTTGGTGTGAACAGGCACAAATATGGAGATATTTTTCAAACCAGAAACTTACAGGAATGCAGGTTATACAAATTTTGCCAGAAATATCTAAACTTCACTAATAGAGGATAATGATGTGATCATATTGAACCACTTTTGTAAGTAAAACATCGCTGAATTTTTAAAAAAAAAATTTTTAGCATATCATTTCAGGTGAAAGTAAGAATTTAAAAAAATTTCATTCATATCAAAGGGCCAATTTCAAAATTTAATGGACATTTAAAATTGCTCATATAGACTTAAAGATATTACTGATAGATGAAGTGTATGCTGAAAACCATTTAGATAATTTCATTGAATAGTGAAATGGAAAAATTAGCTAAAGAATATTGTAGATCTACTGTAGAAGATATTTTTTGGGTTGGCACCATATTTTTATTTTTAGAGAATAGCTTATTTTAAATCAAGCCATAACAATACTTTTATGCTAAAAATTATTTATGTTTTAAACATACATATGAGGTAAAAGAGAAATATATTGAAACTTCCTTTAAATTAAATAATGATTTTCTGTATTTATCAAGCAATTAGTATTGGCAATAATTAAAAACTTCTATCATAGGACATAGCAAAACACATTCAGAAATGTAAGAATTCAAATGATATTTGTTAAACAATAGCAATTTTTCTTTCTTCCTAACTTTTTTTTTGTATTAAAATCATTTTTGTGAAAAAGTATTGATGTTTTTCCTACTTCTTAAAATAAATGCAAGTAAAAAGGCAATTATACTTGGATTTCTAAGTGCAAATATTATAGTTCCATTCTTTTCTTTTTCTTACTTTTAGGTAGATGTTAGAAATTAAGCTTTTATGTGAAGGTGTATGTTTATGTTATCCTAATTTTCTATTTAGATTTTTTCCACTAAGATTTCTATGTATATATGTAATCCAATTTATCCACCACTTTTTTCAAATTTTTTTCAAGCGATATTTAATATTTTAATGACATTTTTTAGAGCATATTTCATTTAAAAAAAAGTGGAAAAAGCCATTCACAAAATTTGTCCGGTGCATACATTTTTCTTTGTGAGTATTTTAGGCAAAACATGCCATTAAATGATTAAAATAAAATGTTTTAATGAGAAATATTGCTACGGGCACAAGAGTTTACGAATTGAGAAAATAACCTCATTAAATAGCTATATCAAATTTGCCAAGAAAATTATGCTTAGTTGCATGTATAATTTGAACACTGTGAATATAAAAAATAAATAATTTGAACATTAATAATAAATTTAAAAAAACTTTTGACGGAAAGAAAAGGATCCAATGATAATTATTACTCTGAGTTTTAAAAGAAATATCTATGCAAGTGAGGTATTGCTTTCTATTTATTTTCTTACGCTAAAGCTCGAAACCAAGTCGACTGAGTAAATAGAGAATTTTTAAGAGTTATAAAAGTTTAGTAGTTGCATGCAACTACGTATGCATAAATACGTAGTTGTATGTATAAATACGTAGTTGCATGCAACTACGTATGCATATCTAGATATGCTATCTAGATAGGTTATGCATTGATTCTTATGCACTTTTTCAAACTGAATTCAATATAATCAAAATTAACTGGATAATCAGAGTTTAGTAGAGATGAAGGGTTTATATATTTAAATTAAAATTTTTAACTTACATCTTTTTATTCACTCATACAATTCAAAATTATTGGTTCTAACGACTTAATTTTGATTTTATTTGATGTATTGTTAAAAAAAAAACATAGCAAATTATGTCTGTACAGCAATGTCAGATCCAGTTGTGTAAATAGGGTGAAGTACCAAAACTGTACTTTTTGTACTCAAAAGCTTTTATGATGTTTGAACTATTAATGCTACAAACTTTGCTTTAGTTTGATTCGATATAGTGTAGCAAAGTAAGATAGTAAACAATACTTCACTTTCTTAGATTGCATAGATAAATGTAAGAACAGAACTGTACATTTTCCCCATCAAACAATTATAACTACTTCATTAGTTCTATCAATTTGAAATTGCTTTAGTTTGATTCAGTGTAAAGAATACATTGGGATTAGGATTAGAGTAATAGCAATAAAAATACATTTTCTAAATAGCAATATTAAAGTCTATCCCTCTTTTACTCCCTCTTCTTCCAACCGTATAAAATAACAATTTAAGATTGAATATAAAGTTCCTCAACACCTTTAGGCAATGTTCATATTGTATACTTACAATGATAAAATTTTTATCTTTTTATCATAAAACTCACAATTTTTTTAATATCTACTTCACTGTTAAATTTTGTTTTGTTACATTTGAATTGCAATAATTTTTTTTTAAAAAGGTTATCATCAATTGATAGATTAACTGCCCTCGAAAAATAGCTACTAACTAATATTATAACCTAGTAATAGTATTTAAATGTTGTTTAGTTGGATTCCAATTGCAACAATTGAAAGAAAAAGAAATGTTTTTGAGATACATGACCTACATGGAATTGCATAAAATTATTTTGTTTAATTATTTATAAAATATCTTAAATTTTTTATTCTCTGAATGAGTATTTGGGGTTTAAGGAAATATTCTTTCTAACATGTGTTAATATGCATCTATACTATGGGCATAGAAATAATTACACATCTACTAATTACATGTGTGTTACAGTGAATATAATTATTGTTTAGTTTATAGGTTATTTATTCTTTTTTTTTTTTAAAGAATAGATAGTTTGCAGTG